GGGGAAGAATGTTATAGCAGAACATTCGAGAATGGCCCACTTGGTGAAAGAACTCATCACCTCTCACTTGATGACATTGACCAATTTCATAACATATGGTCATCTCATTTGAACAAGGTCAAATCCTTAAAAACATTTATAATGCTAAAGGTTTATGATTATGATGTCAATACTTGTTGTGATAGATTGCTGAAATGTTATCATTTGCGGGCACTTGACCTGATGTTCTTAAGTGAGGTGCCATCTTCTATTGATCAATTAAAACATATGAGGTACTTGAACCTTTCTGGTGGTGAATTTACAATGCTTCCTGATTCGATATGTAGATTGTGGAACTTGCAAATTTTGAATTTGAACGAGTGTGAGTCTCTTGAAAAGCTGCCTAATCAGTTGAAGTGCTTAAAATCTCTCCGTCATCTACATTTGGTAGGGTGTTGGTCATTATCCAGATCGGCCCCTGAGATGCGTCAATTAACTTGCTTGAAGACCTTAAGTGCATATATTGTCGATGTGCAGGAAGGGTTCTTATTGGAAGAAGTAGGAAATTTGAAGCTTGAAGGAACACTCTCCATCAAGCGCTTGGAGAGAGTAACAAGTGAGACGGATGCCAGAAAGGCCAAGTTGGCCGATAAGCGCCTCAACGACTTAGAGTTGTGTTGGAGAAGGAACGAACAATCCCAGTTACAAGAAAATGAGGAGAAAATTCTTGAAGCTCTTCAACCTCACAAGCAACTTAAAAGTTTGGTTGTAGAAGGATATCTTGGCACCCAACTCCCACAATGGATGATTAATCCTACGCTCAAGGATTTAATTTCCTTACGACTCAAGGGTTGTAAAAATCTTGTATGCGTTTCGTGCCTGGCAAAACTTCCGTCTTTGAAGCGTCTGAGCTTGTCGGACATGAATCACATGCAATATATAGATGAGGAATCTTATGTTGATGGGGTTGATAGAGGCTTCCAAGCTCTGGAAGATCTAGAGCTGTTAAGGCTACAGAGCATTGTAAAGTTGTCAAGGGAGGATGGAGACAGCATGTTCCCACGTCTCTCAAAGTTGGACATCACTCATTGTCCGCAACTAAACTTGCCTTTCCTTCCATCCATCACTCAACTAAAAGTTACAAATGGATGTAGCAAGGTGTTAGTTGGTTCAATTCATCAAAATCTGCCCAATCTTGAATGCCTTGCTTTGTCCGGAGATGGAGAGTTGACTTCCTTTCCAGAAGAGATGTTAGTAGGCCTTAAGCACCTTCACGCCAACTTGAAGGCTCTCGTAAAATTGCAAATTGCTCGATGCGACAACTTTGAGACAATAACAGAGGAAGCGTCGCGAGGGTTGTGTTCTCTTAAAAGTCTCTTTATTAGTGGGTGTCCTAAATTCAAACTTTCTGCAGGTTTTGGACACCTCATAGCCCTCAAACTTCTAATTATTAATGAATGCGCGGAGGTGGAAGATATCCATGATGCTTTGCAGCATATTATGACGCTTCGATCGTTATTTTTGTATGATCTCCCAAATTTAGTGTCCTTGCCCGACTGGTTGGGGAACCTTGGGTCGCTTGAGTCATTGCATATATCTCAATGCCCCAAGTTGAGGTCACTTCCGATGAGCACTCAGAGCCTTACAAATTTGGAATATTTGTTCATTTCAAGATGTCCGGAGTTAGGGAAGAGATGCAAGGAGGGAACAGGGGAGGATTGGCACAAAATTGCTCATGTTCCACGTCGTGATATAAGAGATTATTAAGATGCATATTTTGGTCAACGTGAATGTTGTTCATCTTATTTCGTTCGCACATTAAGGTATGTGCTCTAATTTCCATATATATAATTTGTCGCTTTGCTTGGATCATGGAGGGTTTTATTTCTAGCCTTTTTTTTAAAGAAAAAATTTAATTTGAGATTCTTATAGTCTTATTTTACCTTATCAAAAATCTGATTATGATTTTTTTAATGGCTCCTTACAATTTCTTTCATTATAGGAATTAGTCCTTATGCTCATAATCTGTTAATTATGATTGATGTGGGCATTGATTAAATTGCATAAGAGTTGCAATAAAATACAAAAATAAAATATTTTTAAAAAAATACAATGATGGATTATAACTTATTTATTACCAATATAAAAGAAGTATTATGCTCTTCATTGTAGTCTTGCATCCATATATATATATATATATATATATATATATTATAATTTGCTTGGTTTTGATTTTATTTAGATCCATGTGGTAAAATTATCTTGTTGAAAACTGAGTGAGAGCCATGTCATTGGCTACTAATGTATTTTTCTAACAAATTAACAAATTGTGAGTATAAAAACTAACACATATAATTGAGAAAATCATGATAAAAATCACATGGATTTAATTTCTAATGAAGTGAAATTACAGGGTCTTATATAGTGATTTTTCCTTTTTCTGAATATATTCAATGTGCTTCTTATAAGGAGATACGGCGTGGGTATATTTGTAAATAGGTCTTGAGGTTAACCTTCAGACAACAAATTTTGTACGTTTCCTATTTCGTAATTTTACAATTTTGAGAATCCAAATTATATGAACATAGAAGACGTAACAGACAGTGTCTCATTTCATAAGCTCGTTCCCTTTTCCCGACTACCAGAATAGGGAATGGGAGCTGAAAACTCCATATCAGATTGCATCATCTTCATTTTGTTCTTGAAATTTACTACTGTATTTTGCGTTTCATTTTGAAACTGACAAGTCTCTCCTTCTATATGTTTAGATTTTTGTTAAAGACTGAGTCAGATTCCAGGCCTCGTCGGGTGGAGCCGAGTTACTCAGTAGAATAGAGGCTGTGTCTCTTGATGATAAATTTTATAATTCAAGCATGAAAGTGCTGGGTTTCTGCTGGTGTCGGAAAATTTCACTGTACTAAATTGGAAATTAACTTTGGTCTGATCTTTTGCTATCTATGACTTTCTTAACGAGTCATTGTTTCAAATGTAGAATGGTGAGAGCATTTTGCACATTGAAATTTGCATCGTCCTTTTCTTTTCCTGCCGTCTTCCATGTTTATGTAATATTTTAGAAACTATGCTCCTTGTGCGTATTATTATTCTGGGTTTATGCCATTGCATTGAATTCATGGCCCAACCTCAGTTTCAACTATTTATACTCCAATTAGTAGGTTTGTTTATTGTTTATGGTAATATACTGTGATGTGGGGAATAATTTAAATCAAGCTTCTATGACTTCGCTTTTTAAAGTACGGCAGATAAATAGCCGACATTGAAAGATAGTGTTATTAAGCTAGCATATTTACATTGCATGCAGGATTACTTCTGGCACATACGCTGTATTTAGACCAGGGCTGATAGCAGATGACTAGAAGCTGGGGAAAATATATTTTATGGGAAATTTGAAATTGAGACCAGTCTAATATTTTGTTTATAGATTGTTTTGATGTGTTAGTCTGATGATAGATCTTCACAAATTTGTTATTTTTGGTTGAATTTTTTTCTCCTCGTGTTAAAGGAGTTCATGGATTGGTATGTATATGAAAAAGCACGGTCAAAGGTGTTAATTAATCCAGTCTATTGTGAGTTGCTCTTCGTGACTTTTACCCCCTATCATCATTCATCACCATGTCCACTCTGGGTTGGCGGGCAAGCATCTTAACAATTTGGTCTTATCATGGGAAAGAAACTGAGAATCGGAAATGCTTCAAGCTCATACACGAATTTAGGACCTTGGAAGTGGAAGCATACATAAGAGTTAAATTCCCACAATGGATGGGTAGCCCTACCCTCAATGATTTATATTTTATACAACTTACAGATTACAGCTTGAAGATTTATATTTTATACAACTTACAGATTACAGCTTGAAGATTTATATTTTATACAACTTACAGATTACAGCTTGCAAAAAACTGTGTGCACGTTACATTCTTAGGGAAACTACTACCTCCGGTCCTTATTATAAGACCCCATTTGACTTTTTATTTGGTTCTAATTATAAGACCCCAATCCATTTTGTCTCTTATATTTGTGCATTTTTTCCAAGATAATCCTTCTAATAATAATAGTTCTAGCCAATATACTTAATTAGCAAGGATATTTTAGAAATAACAACATTTATTTATTACAAATAACTAACTTAACTTACTTCCTTAATCTTCTCAAATAAATCAACTGGGTCTTATAATAAGGACCGGAGGTAGTATTGTATTTGAACAAACTAAAGACATAAAACAAGGTTCATGTGCAATACATTGATGATGAAACTTAGATGGTGAGGTTCCAAGAGATTTTAAAGCTCTCTAAGCAACCAAACCTCGTAAAATTATCAAAGGAGGGCGGAGAAAACATGTTTCTTGTCTTCCCATGATTGAACTGAAGGTACTAGAGAAAAGCGGCCAATCACTTCTGGGTTTAATATATAATCCTGACCGTCTCCATTCCCTTTGATTTATCATCATCATTTTTTTTTTTAACTATGCACAGGTATCCTCCTATTAAAAACAATCTTGTTCAAATATTATTAAGCACTAAATGTGAATACTTCTCCCAATCGAGATTCGAATTTTGATTTGCTACTTTATGAGGCGATATAAATTAGCCTCTTCCACTAGCTTCAACTCATGTGATTCCTCTCTCTTTGGTTTCTTAACTATAAAGAATTGACTTCCTTTCCACATGGGTTGGTTCTAGCCCGTCCTTTTCATAGCGGATTGGCTCAAGATAACTCCCGTGATTTATATTGGAACCCCATCATCCTTACCTGACGGATACTTTGGTCCCTGCTGGTTCACCACCGATCTGCTGTTTAAATTATGTCCATTGGCTTTTTTCGCCTTGAAGCCTTGTGTGTAGTCTGGTTTTTGGCATAATAAGCCATTCAAGACTTCCTTCTCACATGAATCATTGTGGTCATGTCACTTTTGAAAATTTTTATGAAGTTTACCGTAGGACGAGAAGTCCATTGTGCCCGGCTGGATGTTAAGCCACTTTTGGTCATGGCCTTTCATTGCATTTGCATCAAGAATCATCACTGATTCACTTTATCAAATTGATGAAACAAAAGCTATTTGCTTGGCAAATATAAAAATGGCCACGTTAAGAAGTTACTCCAAGGCCGTATTGATATGGTTCAAAACACAAGCTAATGCTTAACGTGACATGACCAGTTTAGAAAGGATCTGCTCTGGTGGAAAACATTAAGATAACACTATAAATAAACAAGGCAGTAAGCACATTATCCCCTTATCTAAATTTCTGAGCTCCAGAGCAAATAATGCTAGAGCCACTAGAACCCTCACAGAGGGCAAAACAAACTCTAATCAGTGCCATACAAGTAATAAAACCATCTGACCAACATAATATCATAAACGGTCCAATGCTACAACCAGCAGTGATGATCCACGGTGTGATCCGGATGGCAACTCTCAATCTTCTTCCCTCTCTGGAGGCAGACCACAAGGCAGGAGCATTTTCTGCACACAAAACAGAACTTCTGATAAGAAATGCAACAGCTACTTCATTTAGGATGGATACTGGAGACAAAATTTGTTGTCACTCAATAGCTTCAGTAATATGATAACAGGAACTGACATCAAAGATCAAACGCCATCACAAGATGCCAGTCCTAAAGAACAAGGATCCATTCAACAAAAAGAATCATGATCATAGAACCCCCAGGCCAGAACTTTTTCAGACCCCTCTTGCTTATTGTCTCATTGGCGGCATCATTGAGCATGTCGTGTCATGCATAATTCAATAAAATGTAACATCACAGAGTAATTATTCTTTCAACTCGTTTTCCCAAAGTTGTGGTAAAAGGATGGCATGACTGCCATCAACCCCGAAAATAAAGCTATAATAGCAGTATCAAATTACATTTTCATAGTGTATAGATTCAAATAAATAAAAACTTATCCCGTGGGTAGAATCTCTGTCAGAAATGAAAAAGGGAACCAGATGAAACCCAGATTTATTACCTCAATTAACAATCTTAATTAAAAGGAAACATAGCATAGTGATGCTTGGGAATTGAACAATTTGACAAGCAAAAGGAAAAATGAAATAACATTGGCAAATGAAATGGGCAGTCTTCCTTCAAGGATAACTTCGGAAAAAAAGAACATGTTAACGAAATAACATTGTTGTTGACTTGCAAACTTCTCATGAAATTGGAAAAAAAGAAAAGTAAACACAGGGGACACACTTAGGTTCCCAGCACAAACTTTGAAATACGTAAATACAAAGAACAAGAAAAGAGGCACTTGATTAAAATGCCCTACACAACCAATGAGCTGATAGCTCATACAGCACCCGTAATGAGCTTGATGTCTTCAATCCATACTCATGCGCCTTTACCCCACTGCCTATTCCCTCATAGCATTGACTTCATTTGTAACAAGAAGGAATCATTATACAACATTTGACAAATCAACTCACTAATACAATTTGATGTGATTAGGGATCCATTTTGCAAACCTGTCTCAAAATATCAATCCGAAAGATGTCAATATTAACCGCGATCAAGTAACTTTTCTTTAGACCAGGATGGTTTTTTCAAAATTATAAAAGAGCCCGTTAATTTTACTACATAACTGCTTCTGTTGTATTGTATGAAGAGTTAAGAATTTGGATGTTCATTTTAGAGCGCATGCTAAAGATCTCTGCTAGTTTGCTATTGCACATAGCACTTCTGTCTCACATGCATTAGTTATAAATGTATTTTTTTTTTTCTAGGCAAGTATATTAATCTATTAGAAGTAATCCTATTCAAGATATTGTTAGGTACTAAATGTAAATATATCTTCCAACGAGAATTTAAACCTTAGTTTAATATGTTATAAGAAACTAGCATCTTCTGCTATCCTATTAGTTGTAATAGTTACAAATAGGGGTGTTCATCAAGCCCGCTAGCCCGGTATGCCCGCCCGAGCCCGCAAGAAAATGGCCCTGCCCAGCCCGGAAAAAAAATAGCCCAAAAAAAAATGGGCATTTTTGGGCTGGGCATATTATGGGCAGGGCAGGCTGCGGGCATGGTATGCTGCCCTGCCCATTTGGCCCTTCCCGTGATATATATATTTATAATTCTTTTTTTTTTGCCAAAAATACTTATAATAATATATAATAATATATATTATTCTCCCCTCTTTTATTTGCCATAAATACATTTAGTGGTATGCGTAATTCTTCCTTCTTAGTATCTTTTAATTTTTTTTTAATTTGGTTTAGTATCTTTTAGTTTGTTTTTATTGTTGGTTGTCTTACAAAGATGCAAAGCAAGCTCACTTTAGTGTTATATTAAAAAGATATATCAATTTAAGACAAAGCAAAGTTATTGATTTGTTGAATTTATTGTTTATTCAAGTATTTATTTCTTTATAATTGTTATAAGATACCTTTACTTTAACTAAAAAAATTTTCACCAAGGTATCACTATTGGGCTTGGAAGCCCGCCCTGCCCAGCCCGTTATTGCCCAGCCCGAAATGGTTAGGGCTTCTATGGCAGGGCAGGGCAGCGGGCCGCAAAATGCAGCCCGCTCATTTTTCGGGCTGGGCATCGGGCAGGGGGCATGCCCTGAAAAGCCACGCTGCTGCCCATGTGAACACCCCTAGTTACAAATGCTGATCTAATCGGATACACACACACACACAAAAAAAAGTCCAACTTGAAGCCCATGCTGCTGCGACCCCAAAGCTTTGCCCCTCCCTAAAAAAATTAGACCTGTTGTCCTTGATGCGAGCCCACTAGAATAATGCAAAGCTGCGTTGGATCCCACTGTTAATGGGCTTTCAATTATGCAACCACTGATCTTCCAATTTTCAACCCTTCGCCTTTGAAATGCATCCAAACTACACCGCGCGCCCTCATTCTTGTTAAAATTAGTCTAATTTTTCATTTCGTTTTGTTATCTTCGTAAAATTTTTAAGTTCAAAAATTTAAATTTAAAAAAATGATTTTAACCAAAAGATACTATTGTTAAGATAAATTGCAAGAATATACTGCTTCCTACAAATAAAGTCTTATAAATGGAACCGGAGTGGTAGTATATGATTTTTAGAAAAGGTAAATTTATACGTTAAATTTTATCTGAGCGAATATTTTTATATAACTTAAAGTCGCACAAAGAAAATTTAACAGGGTATATAATTGACGATGGTGAGATATCTACCTACTTCAAAGTCTAGAGAGGCTTATTACTGAAAGTTGAATGGATGGGGTGTACAAGATTTTAAGTTGAACTGGTTAAAAAAAAAAAAAGATTTTAAGTTGAAGGGAGTTTTGTATAATTTAATAATAAAAAAAAGAATTTGTTTCTTGTCTGTCTAAAGTTTTAATTTCAAACATTTTTAAAAAGACAATATAAAAAAGAAATCAAACATATAAAATCCGGTTTTGTGTTTTATATGTACTGCAGTCTCCAAGTTTTATTTACGAGAATATTCAATTTCTAATTCGAACTCGACAATTACTTTGCAAATCAACCCTGATTTTTTTTTAGTCAAAATGATAAATCTTTGTTGGACTTTCCGAGAAAGGGAGAGTAGCTTTCGGGGCAGCGGGCCCGAGTTTCAAAGTAAAGACTTGTAACAATAAAAATGCAGAAATTATTCTCAGATCTCTTTTATCTTTCTCTCTTTTAAATAAAAATAAATAGGATGAAATTAAAAAATAATCATTAATAACTCTCTAAATAATTTATATTTGAAATCAATTTTTTCTCCTACAAGTCATTTATGACCGGAATCAGAGTGGTACCTCACGCATTATACATGAATCTAATTTAGGAGGTAGTTTGAAAAAAATAATAATTATGTGAGACAAAAGAGGTTTTTTTTTTTTTTTGACCTGATGAGACAAAAGAGTTGAAGTCTCATATTCATATATTTTAGAATTAAAACAAACCTCCTAATAATGAACTTATACATCTAGGAGGGGTGCAAGTATTACTTTTAAACATTAATATATTCTTGCAATCGCACAATTTTATTCAATTTGGAGCATAATTTGATACTTTGAATTTATATACGTATCATGATGATGTCAAATTTTTTTTTTTAAAAGAAGTTATTCAAACTTTTGGATCCCAAAAATTTAGAGTGGAAGAGCTTAGAAGCCTCCTAAACCCATACGAAGGGTAATTATTTGTACTTTTCTTTTCGCACACCTTGCAAGAAAAATGTCACTGATTTCGTGAGGTTTGCTTGCTTGCTTCCATGTACTTCCGACGACATTTGATCAAGCATTGCATTATTGCACCACGCGGTTTTGCTTCTTTTTTTACTTGAAAAGTCTCTCTGCTCATCTTCTTTCGGAAATCATAAATGATCGATTAAATTAGTTATTAGTTTAGTTATTAGTCTCTGCCATCAAAGCTGTCACAGGGAACAAAGCATGAATTAGTTATTTTATGTGCACAATATACTGCCGAGGTATTTATTTTTTCATAAGCTAATCACGCATTAGTACGGGACTACACATCTTATCTACGAAGTTAATGTTCATGGAAACACATTGCACTTATTCATAAAATTTACTACCAGTCAATATGCCTTTTAAAACTTTTTATTTTTATTTTTATTTTCAAATTTCAAAATCCCTATACTAGACATGTCAGAAGAAAGTAACAGGGTGTTACTAGGTTGATTTCAAAATTTGCAAATTTATAGAATGTCCCACCAGTTCATAAATTGTCCAATTTTGAGAATCCAAAATATATTTTGCAAGAACAGAGTATGTTACGGTGTTTCTTTTTACGAGCTTGTTCCTTGTTCTTTTTCAACCATCATGCTCCCATCACATATTTCAATCCTTAAATGACTCGCAACCATCATGTTCCCATCACATATTTCAATCCTTAAAAATTAGAAAAAATCATAGGCACCTCAATATCCTTTTTATAAATTATGATTAAAAGGTTGTTTTTAAGAGTCTACCACCCATTATTAAAACTCCGTTATTTTCTTCACTCACTGATAGAGATGGATTTGTCATGGATCTAGTATTACCTTCGTATTTTTGGTTTTGCCGTTATTTCTTCACTCCAAAGCATGATTTTTTTATAATAAAACAATTATATTGTAGAATTTAAAAAATTGATGTGTGTGTGTATCAGTATGCGTGATTCGCACATCTGAACAAAAAGAGTCATGGATGGATGCGTCCCATACGAAAATTGTTCTCTCGGAACCATCTTGTCATAGCCCGATACACTTCTTTGTTATCTTGTTTCTTTTCTATCTTCCCCTCAACATCTCTTTACTATTCTTGTTCTACATTTTAACTCACTCAAGGCATAAATCTATCTCTGTGCCCAGGAAAAACAGATAAATCTGGCAAAAAATTAAACCGCATTTTTTGTCCTGATTAATAGAGACAATTAACTCAATTCTTCCATCCATCCGGCATCTAGGCATAGCTAACATATAGTAATCAATCTTAGAATCTAATTATCTCTCATGAGAAAATAATCTCACA